CGCTCCCGCAATAGATTAAAAGTTTCATTGTCATGCCTACAGCCATATATCCTAAATTTACGTAAAAATTTATGTTTTTCTTTAATAGCTTTTTTAAGTGGTGTTGTATACCATTTGAGATAAGTGTCGGCAAGAATTAATTTTGAGGGGATATATTTGTCTCTAAGTGACGTGAGTGTGCTTTAAAAATATTGAACAGATTCATCTAAGGATAACGTAGACATAACTTCACCCCATTGGATATTGGCAATCTCACCATTTAATGAATAATAGTCACCTTTATGATATAAGAACTTAAGGCGAGAATTGCTATTTAATGAGTCACAATCAACGTTATCAAAAGATATTAAAAGGGCACCATGATAAGGATCAACAGGAATAAGAGAATCCCCACTTAAATCACGAACGGTTACAGCGTCGCTAGAAAAAACAAGGTCAAGGATCCTGCCATGGGCATTTTTTATACCATTAAATTGTCTCAAATTTAGCGAGCTTAATTCATCTATTAATAAAATTTCATTTCCCGAACGAATATTTGTACCTAAAAATGAACCGTCGGCGGCGTCGATGTCAGGCACCCATATAATATCACTAATATTAAAGTCGCCAACTAATAAAAAGCTATCGTCCGAGTGACTCATGACAACTTCGCTAACCGAGTGCACATAATTTTGAAGTTGAGCAGTAAAACTGAGACCCCGATTTTCGTTACACAAATATAAGATACAAATATGCAAGTTCTTGTGTTTTTTACGGGTAATATGGTGAATACACAACGTTAACCATAGGTCCTCAGCACTTGAATGAAAGGAAGGCTGCGGGATAGCTTCTAGATCTTTACGCGTCGCAATCAAAACACCACCACAGTATTTCTGACCAGTAACTGTGTAATTCCTATCACGCCGCCATACAACGTATCGATTATCAAATAATTCCGTATCACTAATTCTGTCTAAGAGCCATGTCTCCGTAATTAATATTATATCATAATCACATAAAAGAATATTACGATAAAATATGTCGGTTTTAGTGCGCAAGCCTCTTGCGTTCTGATAATATATTCTTAGATTGTCACTGCCACACCCTACACGTACACTATTATTATGTAGCATAGCCATTTTTAAGCCTATCAATAACCAAAATAATTTTACTACAATAAAGGAATATATATCTCCCGTCATATTTCAAAAACCCGTTAATAAAATTAGAAAACAATATACCAATATTTAAAAATTCACTAAGCTTATAATAAGTTAGCGTATAATATTTACAAACGGGTAGAAAAAATAAAACTGTACCATCTAATGAGTGCAAAATATGATGCATACTTAAGCGACCGTCAACAGAAGCAAACAACTGATAACAGAGAGGCAATTTCAACAAATGGCGATGCGTCAACGAAGCAGGTAAGGCAGGGGTAACAAGCATTTTGTAACTTTTTAAAAACAGCTTCGTAATTCCATAAAAGCAAAAGTTAATTATACAGAGGTAAGAATTGTTAATAAAATTAAAAGAAGTAATGTAAAGAGACATTAATAAACAATAGATTAAGCTATTTTGTTTAAATCAGCCTCTTTAGTAATAATTAAATTTGCCGTGTAGTGGCGGTTAAGAATATCCACTACCCCATATCTTCCCGTGGGTGTCGTAAGAGGCGACAGAGGGAGACAGGCAGGAGATGGGCAGCAGCGTCTTCCTGATGACAACTGTGACGTAATAAAAAACTGCGGTTGCCAACCCGCTCGCCAAGCGTGGCAACTATGGCAAATACCCCCCAATGAACAAATACACAAACAGACGGCCCCCAGTCCCCGGCGGCCCCGCTATTCCTGGCTACGGTGGCGACCATGGTAACGGCGGGGCAGGGGGTGCTAAGAATCTCCGGTGGAGGTTCGGTTGCCACCTACGACGACTCGACCTGGCAACATATAACGCACGCACCCTGAGGACTGACGAGAAGATACTGGAGCTGGAAGAAGAGGTAGACAAGTTGCGCTGGCATATTATTGGATTATCCGAGGTCCGAAGAGAGGGGGAGGACACGGCAATCCTCGAGTCCGGCAACTTGTTCTATCACCGGGAGGGCGACCATCTGTCCCAAGGAGGTGTCGGATTTATCGTCCACAAATCTCTCGTCAACAACGTTGTAAAGATTGGGAGTGTGTCGACGAGGGTCGCGTACCTGATACTCAGAATCACCAAACGGTATTCGCTGAAGGTCATTCAGGTTTACGCACCAACCTCGGCACATCCCGATGAGGAGGTGGAGGAAATGTATGAGGATATTTCCAGAGCCATACATTCCTCCAGAACCTACTACACGGTGTTGATGGGAGACTTCAACGCAAAACTGGGCACAAGAGAAAGCGGTGAGCTGAAGGTAGGGAAATTTGGAGTAGGGCAACGGAACCGAAGGGGCCAGCAGCTGGCCGACTTTATGGAGAAAGAGGGACTCTTTATGATGAACTCTTTCTTCCAGAAGCGGCCCCACAGGAAGTGGACCTGGTCGAGCCCCGACGGTTCGACAAAAAATGAGATTGACTTCATTATGACGACCAGACGTCAACTGTTCAGTGATGTCTCAGTGATCGCAAGGGTGAAAACTGGCAGCGATCACCGAATGGTTAGAGGCACACTGAACCTAAACGTTAAGTTGGAGAGGTCTCGTCTAATGAAGTCAACGCTCCGTCCCCCCTCGTGCTCTAATCCAGAATCCCGAAACCTTTCAGCTCGAGTTACGTAACCGCTTCCAGTGCCTAGAAGATTGCAATGCAGTGGACGATATGAACGACAAGCTCGTGGAAACTGTCCATGCGGTCGGAGCTAAGTTCTGTAAGACCCGCCGCAGAAGAACACAAAAACTCTCCGATCACACTCTTAATCTCATGGCTGTTAGACGGGAGATGAGGCTGCAATCGTCAACAGATTTGACAGCATACAGGCAACTGAACAGACAGATCTCCAAATGCATACGGCGAGACTTACGCAACTTTAATACTTCTCGTATTAAAGAAGCGATCGAGCGGAACCAGGGCTCCAAAGTCTTTGCCAGAGATCTGTCTGCCAGAAAGAGCCAACTGTCAAGGCTGAAGACTGAGTGTGGCAACATCGTTTCCGGGACACCTGAGATTTTGAGTGAGATTGAGAGGTTCTATGGGCAGCTGTACACATCATCGTTGGAGCCACACGCAAGTGTGAGTAACGATCCAAGAGCAAGTCTTATCCGACACTATTCCGATGATATCCCGGACGTCAGTCTAAGCGAGATTAGAATGGCTCTCCAGCACCTTAAAAACGGCAGGGCCCCAGGCGAGGATGAAATTACAGCGGAGCTTCTGAAAGCGGGTGGAACACCGGTACTTGAAGTCCTTCAGAAGCTCTTCAATTCCGTCCTCCATGGTGGCACTACTCCAGAGGCGTGGAGCAGAAGTGCGGTGGTCTTGTTCTTTAAGAAAGGCGACAACGCTCTCTTAAAGAACTACAGACCGATTTCCCTTCTGAGCCGCGTCTACGTGCTGTTTTCGAGAGTCATTACGAATCGTCTCGCACGCAGACTTGACGACTTCCAGCCTCCCGAACAAGCCGGTTTCCGAAAAGGCTTCAGTACCATAGACCACATACATACCCTGCGGCAGATTGTACAGAAGACTGAAGAGTACAATCTGCCACTTTGCCTGGCGTATGTGGACTATGAGAAAGCCTTTGATTCCGTCGAAATTTGGGCGGTGCTACAGTCCCTTCAGCGGTGCCAAGTTGACTGTCGGTATATCGAAGTGCTGAAGTGTTTGTACAGTAGGGCTACGATGGCTATCCGAGTACAGAACCAGAGCTCGAAACCTATCCAACTGCAGAGAGGTGTAAGACAGGGTGACGTTATATCCCCGAAACTCTTCACCGCTGCATTGGAAGACGTTTTCAAGCTACTGGACTGGAAAGGATACGGTATTGACATCAATGGCGAGTACATCACTCACCTTCGATTTGCCGACGATATAGTCCTTATGGCAGAATCGCTGGAGGACTTAAGCACTATGCTCAATGACCTCAATAGTGCCTCCCAACGGATAGGTCTTAAGATGAACATGGACAAAACAAAGATCATGTTCAATGTCCATGTCACACCTATGCCGGTAGTTGTTGGGAGCACTATGCTCGAAGTTGTTGACGAATACGTTTACCTGGGACAAATAGTCCGACTAGGTAAGTCCAACTTCGACCGAGAGGTCAATCGACGGATTCAACTCGGCTGGGCAGCGTTCGGGAAATTACGGCATATCTTTTCGTCAGGTATACCTCAATCTCTAAAAACTAGATTGTACAACCAGTGCGTGTTGCCAGTGATGACTTACGGATCTGAGACGTGGTCCTTCACTGCTGGCCGTATGAGGACGCTTAAGGTCGCTCAGCGAGCTATGGAGAGGGCTATGCTCGGAGTTTCTCTGCGTGATAGACTCAGAAATGAGGATATCCGCAGTAAAACCAGAGTGACCGACATAGCCCAACGGATTAGTAAGCTGAAGTGGCAATGGGCCGGCCATATAGCTCGAAGAACCGATAACCGATGGGGAAGAAAGGTTCTCGAGTGGCAGCCTCGTACCGGTAGGCGTAGTGTAGGGCGACCCCCCACTAGATGGAGTGACGACCTGGTAAGACATGCAGGAAGTCGATGGATGCAGGTGGCTCAGGACCGTGCTTTGTGGCATTACTTGGGGGAGGCCTATGTTCAGCAGTGGACTTGTGAAGGGCTGTAATGATGATGATGATGAAAACCGGCGAAGTATCATTTTTACGAACATGAATTTTTCCGTATTTGACCCAGATATAAGAATAACCTCGGTCTTTTGCTAAGGTCCTTGTTTTGGTAAGAAGTTTTTTGTGCTCTGGAGTCAAATGATCATTTACGAAAACGCGTTGACGATTGCCTCTAAATCCAACATCCTTCGCCTCTAGAGTTTTGCAGGCGCGTGCAGCTGCTAAAAATTCTTCTTTGACATAACGATTTATGAAATTGATAATGATGGCCTTCTCTTTGGTATTAAACATTGGTACTCGGGATATGTAATTGATTTGAGATTTTTTGAATTAATACCCAACTGCTTAACCAAAGACTCCGCAATTACAAATAGGTTTTCATTGGGTTTTAGGGGGATGCCCTTTATATCAACATTACTCAGCCGTGACCATTGTTCTTTGGTCTCAATAACACTTTTAAGATTAGCTATTTCCTTGTTGGCGACAGCGAGAGAATTTTGAATTTTTTCAATCTGAGATACACCATGTTCCAAACTGGAGTCTTGATCTTGAAAAGATTTAAGTGAACTACTGTTGTACTCACAAGACTCCTTCAGATGGATTAATTCAACTTTAATAGATTTGATGTCTTCGATAATAGTTGGAACTGTTGTGACTAGCTTCTTCATCTCACGAATCTCCTTAAGAATAACATCCAGGGTCGCCGACTCCCCACCAGAATTGCCACCAGGGGTGGCTTCAGAACTTGGACGGGAGGGGCTGAAGGAAACCTTTTTGCACTGAAGGTATTTCCATTGTGCTCTTCGATCTGCTCCTAAGTTCCGAAAACGTCGCTCCGTTATACCAGCACAACCAAAATCGCAGTGTTTTTTACAAACGTAACATTGCGCTCCATCATTGAACTCATTTGAACATGATTCACAAATATTCATCGTTGAAGTAACAGTATCAATGACTACAGTTACGAAAAAAAAAGGTTTGTGATATATGTTTTATGTCGTATGACGTAGATTGTAGATACGTAAACAAGAGTGCAAACGTTTAGCTATACGCGTGCGCCTGTGTCGTGCGCTCACTGCTCACTTAATTATATGATAAATTTGCCCTTGCACCGTAAATGTAGGCGAAAATCCCGGCATTATTATTTCCCGGTCAACTCCGAAGGACGTCATTTGAAAGCATGAGTTATATTTCTGGATCCTGTTAAAAAGCGCCGCGACTCATTAGCATCATATAAAAAGAGAGTTTTCAAAGGTTCTTCTGGTTCCTCAAGTAACGGAAGAGACACTTTGCCATTGGAACAGCACATGCCTGCAGTCTCATCTTTCCATTTTAAAGCGCTGCAAAATCGACACGCCTTGTCCATCAGTCCGATAACAACTAACCTGTGATTTTTATAATCAATCAACGGATCATAATTGAATGCTGCGTCATTAAAAAACCGAGCAATTGTTTCTTTGAAAATTTTGCCGACGTTCACCTTGGAGCTGTGCATTTGCATCTCTTCGCGCCTGTGTCTGTTCTGTTGTTTCAGATGCCCTTATAGTAGATTGACGTTCAGCTTGCTCAATGAGTCTGTGTTGAGTTTCATCAGGTGTTTCCGCGGCTCTTAGGGCGCCCTGACGTACCGCTTATTTGAATAGCCTTTGCTGACTTTGAGCAGGTATTTCAGTAGCTCTTAAAGTAGATTGAAGCTCTGCATGTTCAAGACGCCTTTGCTGACTTTGATAAGGTGTTTCAGTAGTTCTTAAAGTAGCTTGACGCTCTGCCTGTTCAAGATGCCTTCGCTGACTTTGAGCAGGTGTTTCAGTAGCTCTTAAAGTAGCTTGACGCTCTGCCTGTTCAAGACGCCTTCGCTGACTTTGAGAAGGTGTTTCAGAAGCTCTTAAAGTAGCTTAACGCTCTGTCTGTTCAAGACGCCTTTCCTGACTTTGAGAAGGTGTTTCGGAAGCTCTTAAAGCAGCCTGATGCTCTGTCTGTTCAAGACGCCTTTGTTGACGTTAAGAAAGTGTCCCAGATGCTCTAAAATCAACCTGACGCTCTGCTTGTTCTTGCCTTCTGAGTTCAGCTTCTTCTAAAGATTCTAGCAATCGAGCTAATCTTTTCGATTGTCTTTGAGAAGATACTCTTGAAAGGCTGGACTTACATTTGCAAGGCATTATGAAGAAACAAAAAACCTATTTATAAAAAAACGTTAAAATACCTAAAAGGAATTAAATTTCTTTTTAAATATTTTTTATAGCAAATCCAAAATATCTAAAAGGAATAAATATTCCTTTTAAATATTTTTTAAAATCAAAACAACAAAAGCAATTCAAGGCACAACACGAACAATCGAATCAACTTAAACCAAATCACAAAATAAATCGCAGAAAACCGAAATCGAAAGCAGTAGCCAATATAAATATAGCAAACGAAAAAAGAAGTAAGTGTATAGGTACCGTTAACACTATCTATACTATTAATATTCCTTTAAAATATTGTTAAACAACCTAAAACAACGAAAACCAATTTACAATTCGAAATAAACAAAATCCAAAATCAATGCCAGAGTCTAAATATGTACAAAGGAATAATAATAATAATAATAATAAGTATATAAGTATATACTTATTATTATTATTATTAATATATAAGTAACGGTTATGTGACAAAACCGCTACGTCAGCGCAGTCAGTCAGCACCTTGCCAAGAGGTGTTAGTGCCGTGCCTCGGCAAAAATTGAAGGTGCAAAGGCCCGCTTGTGCACATGGCCTCAACATGAAACGGCGCCGGGTCTGGGCGTCTCCCGCTAAATGACGCCCTAAAAATGGATGATGGAATTAAATAGAACGCGCAAAGGGCCGCTGCCTGGAGGTCGCCAGGGCGCGTCTGGAGCTGGCGCTGGACGCGGCAGCATGCGAACCGCCAGCCGAGCGCGAGGTGCTGCACGACCACCCAGCAGCCCCTCGCATCCATCATCCCCACCAGCTGGCTTGGTGTCGGCAGGGTCTTCGCGGGCCCAGCAATCGGCACCCGCCTCTGGTGGAGTACGCCGCATGCGTTGGACAACCCAGATGAACAGCAACGTATTGCGGGCGTATTTTAGGGCGAAAGGGGGAGAAACTGGATGTTTGGCGTATCGGGCTAGGATGCATCGTCTTTTTGCTGAGCTGGAGCCATCTTTAACCGTCACAGAGCAAAACCTGGCAGACCGAGTTCGGTATATCTTGCGCTCAAATATATTTGATGTCGCCGAACTCGAACGGCTACGACGTGAGGCTGTTCCCTCGTCGGAAGAGAATGCTACGGCTGAGGATGCGGCGCCACAAATGGTAGAGCAACCAGCAAACGTGAATACCCCAGTTGTGGTTGATTCAAACGATGATGGAACAGTCGCCCAGGAACTGGAATTAGAGCATATGAGGAGTACATTGGAAGAGGCGATTGTGGAAACGCGCAGTATGCCTCTCGAAAATCGACCGCGACTTCCCCGCATAGCCCTAAGCAAGCGGAATCGGGCTGTCGTGAGGGCTCTGAACCCAATGCTGGTGACCTATTTGGAAGCCAGCCGGGAGCTTTGCGAGACGGACTCAATTCTTTTTGGCGCCGCGCTGGCAGTCTGCCATATCATAGGCGCCAAGGTTTCCACGGCTGGACGTGCTACTGGCCATAGTAGCGCTATCCCAGCATGGAGAAGAAGAATTGAGGAACGTATCGCAAAGGCTAGAGCTCTCATCGGCAGACTGATATGCTTCAGATCAGGCAACAACAGGCCAAAAATTGTGCGCACCGTCAGGATGGCGTTTGCTGGGACAAATGTCAGTTTGTTCCAGCCGGATATAACGCAAAAACTGACGGAGCGCATAGATGATCTGAAGCAGAGAATCGCTGCTTGGGGAAAGCGGATTCGGCGATATACCGAGAGGTCGACACGGTTCAACCAGAATCGTCTCTTCCAGAGTGATCAGAAGAGGCTCTATGAATCATTGGAGCGACCAATGGTAAGTGGAACGGGTCCAGCACCGAATCAGGCCGACACTGTAGCATTCTGGCGCGGCCTGTGGTCAGAGCCCGTAAACCACAGCGAGGGCCCTTGGACGGAAGTTGTGGCGAGTCAGTGTGCGGGTATTACGCCCATGGACCCCGTCATCATAACGCCGGATGACGTAGCTGAGGCGGTCCGTAGGGCCCCGAACTGAAAAAGTCCGGGGCTTGACGGGCTGCATCACTACTGGCTGAAGGGGTTCATGGTGTGTCACTCTGTGCTCGCCCGACAGTTTCAAGAGGCTCTCAACCAGAAGTCGCTCCCAAGCCTCTTCACTACTGGGATCACTCATTTGGTTCCTAAAGACCAGGGTACCACAGACCCGAGCAAATACCGCCCCACCACGTGTCTACCGACCATAATACAAGACACTAACATCCATTTTGAGCGCGAGAATCACTTGTCACCTGGACTCAAATCAGGTGATGTCGCGCGCTCAAAATGGATGTCGGGGCGGTGGTCGTGGAACCAAGGAACCACTCCTCATTGACGCGGTCATTGGCAAAGTGGTGAAACGCAACCGTCGGAACTTCTCCGCCGCCTGGATAGACTACAGAAAGGCATTCGACTCGGTGCCCCATACATGGCTAAAGAGAGTCCTCGAGCTGTACAAGATAGACTGTACAGTTAGAGACTTCCTCGAGCAGTGTATGGGGCAGTGGAGTACGATCCTTTGTCATCTGGGCAAGCGGAGGATGGCTGCGGAGAACCACATAAGGATAAGAAGGGGTATCTTCCAGGGGGATTGTCTGAGTCCAATCTGGTTCTGCCTCTCTCTGAACCCTCTCAGTACCTTACTGGAGGGCTCCGGGAGGGGATTTCAGCTACGGAAAGGAGGGACAAAAGTGACCCACCTTTTCTATATGGATGACCTCAAGTTATTCGCCTCCAGTCGCTCCCATCTTATGGAATTGCTAAACATCACTTGTGAATTTAGCAATTCCATTGGAATGGAGCTTGGGACGGATAAGTGTGCGGTCATCCATGTTGAAAGGGAAAGGGTTGCTAACTCTGAGGGCGTAGACTTATCTATGCCCGTCAACTTAAGGACCCTTTCCAAGGCTGAAACATACCGATACCTGGGTATGTCACAAAACATCGGTATCGATGAGACTGGTATGAAACAGTCAGTTTGCGACGTGTTTTATGCACGCTTGACCAAAGTGCTTAACAGCCTTTTGTCCGGTGTGAATAAGGCACACGCATATAACGGCTGGGTCATGCCTGTCCTCATGTATACCTTTGGCATACTCAGGTGGACTCAGACTGAACTTAACGCCCTGGATAGAAAAGTCCGCACTACCATGACGTCCCATAGGATGCATCATCCGAGATCATCGGTAATGAGGCTGTACTTGTCGCGGAAGCATGGTGGTCGTGGCTTCTTGAGCGCGCTCACCATGCATAATCGCAAAGTGTGCAGCCTCCGTGATTACTTCCGTGATACTCCGTAATTTCTTCCTGGCCAGATCGGATGATCCATTCTATAAGGACGTCATTTCTTGTGATAAAGGACTTACCCCTCTATCCTTAGCCAACGAGCAATGGCAAGACCCGGCAGTGCAGAGCATTTCCGACCGGGAGACCGTATGGAAGGAGAAGGAGCTCCGCGGGAGGTTCTACAAGGCTCTACATGAGCCTTTCGTAGACACAGTAGCCTGCCTCCACTGGCTACGCTTTGGTGATCTCTTCGGGGAAACTGAGGGTTTTGTCTGTGCAATACAGGATCAGGTTATTAATACCAACAACTATCGGAGATACATCCTAAAGGATGGCACCGTCGACATCTGTCGAGCTTGTCGCCATCCCGGTGAGTCACTTAGGCATGTTATCTCCGGTTGTTCGGCGCTTTCTAACTCTGAGTACTTGCACAGGCACAACCTAGTAGCCAGAATTCTACACCAGGAGCTCGCTCTGAAATACGGTCTCGTGGATCGGGAATTGCCGTATTACAAGTACTTGCCGGAAGCCGTGCGCGAAAATGATCGCGCCAGGCTCTATTGGGACCGGGCCATCATCACAGACAGGACTATTCCGGACCGGGCACAGTCAAGGATATTTTTGGTCGACATTACCATTCCGTATGACGAGAACCTCGTGAAAGCCGAAACAGACAAGCAAACAAAATATCTGGACCTGGCTCACGAGGTGACCGACATGTGGGGTGGTCTGCCGACCGAAATTATTCCTGTAGTCGTCTCTGCAAACGGGCTAATCCCAGTCAGCCTCTCGGGTCATCTGAGGCGGCTGGGACTACGTGGCGGACCGCTCCAGGTTCAAATGCAGAAGGCGGTGCTCCTCGATACCGCCCGCATCGTCCGCCGGTTTCTTTCCCTTTCCCCCTAACCCTCGGCCGTTTGATCTCCCCTGCCGAGGGCCTCCGTCTGGTTGGGCTTTTATTTATTTATGTACTTTTATATTTATTTTATGTTATTGATATTTATGTATATTTATCTTTTCATTCTCATTTATAATTATATATTTATAGAACCCAACCAGATGAGAAAACTATATAGATACCCCACAATAATAATAAATCATTTTATTTTTCTCTTCACAAAGGTATATAATTTCACATTATTTCTTAAATAATACGATAGTAGATAATTTTGACCTTTGTGAGAGACTGGTGTCCATACTAGGGTAATCCCTGTGTTATAGATCACCAGGCCCTCACCCTAACGGATAGCACGTATTACATTTTCAAAAATACTACAAGAGAAATACAAAATAGGAAATATTTCAACAAGGAAAGATTCTATATGTTTTTTTAAAGTATAAGTGTAAGAATACCAACCAAATCAACAAAACAGGTCTTCCTGAGCCAGGATATCGAATTCGAGCATCTCCATGAGTTAACGGGTACATGTCAGGAAACATTTCGTTACCGCGTTTTAAAAACCTAGTAACAACATCTAGCGGAATCAATTTAAACTATGTATACGTTAGTTAATAAGAACTCTGAAAAAATATATTTCTTACAATTTTGCTCAATTTTTCTTTTTATAATACCGATTCATTCATAACCACATATAAAAACTGTATTCATTTCCGTTCAATAAATATTACTAAGGCTTATTAATAAGGCTTACTAAAAACTGTTTCTACCACAGTTAAGTAGTTAAGGGTGAAAGCGTGACAGGTGGTGATAGTATTTCCATACTTATAATCACGCCTGTAACCCTTGCGGGGTAGGCAGAGCATCAACGGATTACTTAATATCGTCTGCGAGGTTATCGCCTATACTGTGAATTACAATGCACCAAAACGTTTGAAGAAAATCAGCTGGTGAATTTTATGTTTTTTATCGCTCTCTTCCCGGTCCTGCGTGGAAAAATACAGATCCATACATTTTTATCTTAATTTTGGTAAAAAGACATAATAATCCAGATATTCTGACCTTCTGTGTTCGTCCGTCGTACCGTCGTCCGTCTTGTAGAATCACGGTGGCGCCACCTAGCTGAATTTAATTTTGCAACATATTCGATCATGCCATGCCGACGCTCTGTTGCGACGTGAAAGAAGGACAAACTTGTGCAACATATTCGATTTTCGCACGGGAATGAGATGTTTTTCCGCGGAAAAAAGTAGCCTATGTTACTCTACAGCCACCGAACTATCCCCATACAAAAAAATCATGCCATGCCGATGCTCTGTTGCGACGTGAAAGAAGGACAAACAAACAAACAAAGACACTTTCGCATTTATAATATTAGTAGGAGTATGGATGAAGGTTCTGAAAGAAATGAAATGGCTCAGAAGGGCTAGTCCTAGAGCCGTAAAGCCAGTTAAATAAAAAAAAACACAATGAAAATATGATCTATGATTACTGTCTTATAGGTTATGTTGTGTTAGATAAATAATAAAAATAAGGTTAAATTATACAAAATTTGAAGTAGTTTAGCATAATAAAATGTCTTTTTTGCTACGTTAAGTTGATAGATTTTATTTGAAAAAATGTTACGTAATTTTATAAGAGCTTTACAACCACTTATTCCTGGCCGTGTAAGTAATTTAAAAGTACCACTGGTTTGTAATAATACAGTAATTATACTATACTACTACTATATATTAATATTTTAATAAACAAATGCCCGGCCCGGCTTCGCCTGGGTAAGATCTTAGTTGTGTTATCAATAACTATTAATTTAACTTTGCAACTTTTCTTTTTCTCCAAACTAAACTCTAAAGCGGGGAATTCACTAGACGGACTTGCGCTCGGGCATACCTGTCGGACTTCGCTGCTATAGGTCTGCGCAAAGTTTGATAGTTTTGAACGTTGAACGTCCGCGCGATCTCATTTTGTCTGCGCAGGCAAAGACATGCCTGAACGTGAATGTTAACTGTGGGCTGCCTATTCACAGACACAAATGTGACAGCAACCGGTGCACATGGCTCTTTATTATTATTTAACCAACTTTGGAGATTTTTAATTTGCAATGAGTTTTAATGATAAAATATTCTGGGAAGAGTATACGACTCTATATTCATGCGCAAGTAATTGTACAGGCCTTATGGTACAGGTGGTATGGTTTATATGTAAATTAATATGGCTTAACTTATTTCTATTTTTATACTAACTGCACCAAACATAATTATAAGTAAATAATAAGCATTGCAAGTCTAGGTTGTCATCCTAATGTGCACGCACAACTAATTACGTAGACCGTCTAAAATAAACTGATGAGTTTGTGTAGTGTATTGCGGCGACTGACATGCCTGGATAAACAGCCCGTAGGCATGTCCGTCTAGTGAATTCCCCGCTTAAAGCATTTTGGATAAAATATAACCTAGATCCCTCTTGGCATTGCTCTTTACCTTTTCGTGAAATTTCATTACAAACAGTTTAGAGTTTTCGAAAATTAGCCCAGATAGACAGGCTAAAATTTTAAAAATGGTAATTCATGTCTTAAAGCCATGCGAATAACACTGACAGATCAATAAAATTCAGTTATTGCATGCCTTAAGCGCATAGCGCATAGGTATGTTCTACTAGTACCTAAAATCAAGAATCCAACGTTTTGTCACATGAAATCATATCTAACAATCATAATGAACATATAAATGATATAAAAACCACATTGGAAGAAAGATAAATAAAGGATTTTTACGGAGTCAGGTTAAAAAGATGGTTTTTATGATTATGCCTTAGTA